ACTAGCAAACCAGTGAATCAAATGTTCACCAAAACCTGATTTCTCGAAAACCGGAAGTGCTACGTTACTCAAATCCGGTTTGTAGTCTTATCAGACTATTCTTAACTTATAACTTAAATATTCTCTTTATCTATCTCTTACGGTTTGGCCGCTGAAACAGCACCACAGACAGACGGACGGACTTGTCTAATAGATAAGAGATAAGTTATTTACGGGATTGTTACCATGTACCTTGTTTTTAGCGAGTTTCCGATATTTCGGCACTGTTGCAAGCGCCATGATCACGGAGTAACATGTTACTCCGTCATGTTAAATATCGGAAACTCGCTAAAAATAAGGTACATGGTAACAATCCCGTAAATAACTTATATTACTATAAAGCCTACAGATAGTTGCGATATACAGGGCGTCCCACGGGATTGTTACACAAAGGGAATATATATTAAATATTGAAGATAGGATATTTTACTGAAAGAAGACATCTTTTTATTTTTAATAAAATGATGTCTTATTTCAGTTAATAAAATAAATAAAAGAATAAATATTTCCAACACTCACACCAATTACCCTAGCCCCAAAGTAAGCACTATAAGGCTTGTGTTATGGGATACTAGGGTAACGGATAGAATACATATACTTTACATATATAAGTATATTTATATAGAAATACGTATTAAACATCCATGACTGGAGTACAAATGCTCGTGTTCATCACACAAACATCTGCCCCCACCGGGATTCGAACCCGGGACCTTTCGAGTCGGCGACGCCATAAAACCCGGCCAACCACTCGGCCACGGAGGTCGTCGAATTGTTCAGTTCAATTGTTGGGTAATTTGATGTGCCTCGTATAAAACAAAGGTCTATGCAAAATCTCATATTCTTCCGTGCATAAACTGGACCAAACTTTTTCTTCAACGTATCTAAGATGATGGTTATAAAAATTATTTCTCCCGATTTTTTTATAAGTACCATTATACCACCAAGAACGCATCGAATAAGCATAAACTAGCAAACCAGTGAACCAAATGTTCACCAAAACCTGATTTCTCGAAAACCGGAAGTGCTACGTTACTCAAATCCGGTTTGTAGTCTTATCAGACTATTCTTAACTTATAACTTAAATATTTTCTTTATCTATCTCTTACGGTTTGGCCGCTGAAACAGCACCACAGACGGACGGACTTGTCTAATAGATAAGAGATAAATTAAAATAATTTCAATAATAACAAAAATAAAAAATTACCACTACAATATGACAATATATTTTTAAATAAGTGACGTTTTTTTTTCTATCGAGAGGTTTATTCTTCGATCCGGTCCACCTTCGGACAATTCAATTCAATTCAATTTATTGCACTCATGTGGTTACATCGATGGTTACAAAATGCTTATAGTACCTAACATGAACCCTGTCAGGGTATCGCAATATACAGTACAGTTAAAGATAAAAATTACAAAAGAATCTAATAAATAAACAGTTATGTATATAAGTAACCTATTAAACCGTTTCTTTCTATTTTCTATTTACAGGGCGTATTTTTACTTTGAGTAAAGATTTTTTTAACATTCACTCCAATTAGCCTCGGCCCAAAGTAAGCAGGGATACAAGGGTAATGGATAGAATACATATATAGCATATATCCATATTAATATTATTAATATCTATATAGATGACGACCTCCGTAGCCGAGAGTGGTTTGTACGCCGGGTTTCATGGTGTCGCCGACTCGAGAGGTCCCGGGTACGAATCCCGGTGGGGGCAGATGTTTGTGTGATGAATACGAGCATTTGTACTCCAGACATGGATGTTTAATATGTATTTCTATATAAATATACTTATTTATGTATTCTATCCGTTACCCTAGTATCCCATAACACAAGCCTTTACAGTGCTTACTTTGGGGTTAGGCTAATTGGTGTGAGTGTTGGAAATATTTATTCATTTTATTATTTATTTATAGAAAATACATATTAAACATGCATGACTGGAGTACAAATGCTCGTATTCATCACACAAACATCTGCCCCCATCGGCATTCGAACCTGGGACCTCACGAGTTGGCATCACCATGAAACCCAGTTTACATATCACTCGGCCGCGGAGGTCGATGAAATCTTATATTTCTTTTATATCCGATTAGAAAAGTATAATTTGATGAGCTCGCTAAGGAAATAAGCTTTTCTGGGAATCGGCCATAGAGCCTAACTTAATCAGAAATATAGGTACGGTCGTCCCTTTCAATTAAAGAGAATATCAAAGTTAACATTATTAAATTATACTAGTTCCATTTTCTTAAGAGTCTATATGTTAAGCAATTACTTCGTCTAAGTCATTTTTAATGTTATAGCTATTAACGGGATTGTTACCATGTACCTTGTTTTTTATGAGTCTCCGATATTTCGGCACTGTTGCAAGCGCCATGACCACGGAGTAACTGAAGTAATTGCGGGTAGATGTTATTGGCAGACATATCGGTCTACCCTCTGACGTCGTCTTTTACTGCGCTCGATACCTCTACCACTGGTCACATTCTCACTATTCACTCGCACTTGTTCCCGACACACAATACTTGACACTTTTTTTTGATTTTTGCGGTTTTTACACATACGAACCACTGGATTCCAAACATTTGACAATTTAAACCCGTCCTCACGATTGAAATTCTTGTGTTTGGTTATTTCAATCGCTTCCCTGACCAATCTTGGTATGTAGTGGCGTTCTGTCACAATCCCGTTATCTCTTATCTATTAGACAAGTCCGTCCGTCCGTCCGTGGTGCTGTTTCAGCGGCCAAACCGTAAGAGATAGATATAGAGAATGTTTAAGTTATAAGTTAAGAATAGTTTGATAAGACTACAAACCGGATGTGAGTAACGTAGCACTTCCGGTTTTCGAGAAATCACGTGATTTCTATTTCAAACGAAACCACACAAAATCTCCGAAGTTCTCAATTAATTAAATACATTTTTTTTTGGTGAACATTTGGTTCACTGGTTTGCTAGTTAGCTATAATGTTAGTGACCATGAAAGTTTAAAACAATAAAACTTTTAATGTTTTCTTCTTATGAATATTTTACTAGGGCAGAAATTTTCTAATACTTAAAGTTGAATGACTATTAACCTTATACTAACAAATCTATTTTAGCTGTCGCAAAATAGTCTTACGAACCTCGGAGTAATTCCCCAGGTTACTTACTTTTAAAATATATATATAATCTGCTCTCTTTAAGTTTGGTCTTTTACAGTTCAAATAAAACAAAAATAAATATTGTACTTTTAGAAAACGTTTTTTGTTTAAACTTTGAATTGAAGAAGACTCATTCGTATTTTACAGTCAGTAGGGGTTTAAATAAGATTTATGGGAAAAAGACATTGAGAATCTGATTTCCTTAGGGATCACATCATTTTAATTATCGATGTCCAATATTTCATATTGCCAAATTGTATTTTGATTTGAAATTGTCTTTTTTGTAACTATGTTAGGGTATACATACATTTGTCTAATTATTGGTTCAACAAACCTACCTTAAGTAAAGATTTGCACGGTTCTAGATACGTAATTTTAAAAAAATTAGGTACATTAGCTGACCAAAGGACATGGCTAAGAAACTGCCCTTAAGGTGTATAATTATTTTGCACTACCATATTTTTTGTTTTTTATTAATTTTTACGTGTTTATTTTATTTCTCATACAACTTTCGTGAAATAATCAAATATTTAAAAGTATAAAAAATTACTTCATGTCCATTTTAAAAAGGAAAATGTTCCGTTTTACAACAATATATGAACAATAAATGTGTACTAAAAATATTTCTGTCAGTATATCAAAATAAACAATATTAATTCAAAACTTCCAGAAACTATGACATATTTGTCTCTTATTTTTATTATAACCAATCAGGCCTCCAGGCCTTAAATAATAGATTTTATTTTTCTGATCATGCTTGAAAGAAAGCTGTTTGATAGTGAATTCTTTAATTTTTGCAAATGAACAAAATAAAACTTGGTTTTTACGGGTTACAGGCTACAATAAAAATTTGATTCCGACGACGTAGCCCGTAAAGGCTACGAAACGTCACTAAAATAAATAAAGTTTCGTGCATTAACCCGTAAAAAACTAGTTTTATTTAATGAGTGATGTGCGCGAAAACCTAAGAAACAAATAAAATAAAACTTCACAGATTTCCTGTCAGGCCGACGACAACAAATTATTTGTATTTAGTTTTACTTTTAAAAACACTTTTTGTGAAGTGTTAAACAGATAAATTGGAGGAATTTATTTTAATTATTTTAAGAAAATGCGAAATTGATGGCTCTTTAAAAATTTGGCAACATCTTTTATCAAATGTAGCAAGGTAAAGGCAATGACGTCGTAGGAGATCTCATAATTTTCAAGATTGTGACTTTATCAAATACTTATGCTAAGTGTACAGTACGTTGTAATCTACTATATAAAAATAAGTCGGGTTTTCCTTCCTGACGCTATAACTCCAGAACGCACGAACTGATTTCCACGGTTTTGCATACGTTGGAAAGGTCTCGGGCTCCGTGAGGTTTATAGCAAAAAAATTCAGGAAAATTTTCAACAAAAAAGAGGGAAAATCTTTTTTCTCATACAGCGCCATCTCTGATACACAGCATGTACTTACAAACCAATATTTTAAGTAGATGGCGCCGGTGCGTGATACATTGTTTGACAGCTACTCATTGTTCTCTGTTCAGTTAATTTCATGTGACAAACCGGTATAGTGTTCACTGTGAAATTGTGAAAAAAAAGTAAAAAAAATAAGTCATTCGTTTCCTAACATTTCAATTGGAAACCATCAACTCAATCACGTGTATTGTGCAAATTTTTATTCAATTTCAACAGCAGGCATTTGTCTTTAAGGTAATAAGTTGAACTGTGTAAATTATGTGGATCGTGCATTTGAGGTTAAATTCACCACTCTGTCCATAGTCCAAAATGCCTAGAGGACGACGTGCGAACATCGACGTGCGAGAAACGGCTGGATTGTGCTGCGCAAGTGGAAAAGTCAAACTGGATCCATTACTTACACCACCACAGCGACTGAAACCATTGTTCGATCGAAGTGATCCCGATTCCAGCCATTTTCTTTAACACATCCTTGAATACAATAACTGCTTTCGCATGACTTCCTTTGGAGCTAATATAATTCGAGAAGGCGGCTTCATGCCGACTTGCAAGGTAAAAGATACAACACACATAACCAATCACTCACACCAACACAATGAATGCAACACATAACAACTACATATACACCACACACTACACCATGACATGATCAGAAGTTACACCGTATTCTTCAACAAATGATTATTTGCAATTACAGATACAAGGACAAATATATCATTTGCATGGTTCAATGGTGCCAACACCAGATGAACCGCATCAATTTCTGCAAATATATTTCATTTCGTCGATGGTGGATCAGCTGAATGTGCGGTGCAATATACAGGGAACACAACAGTTAAAGAGACGGATTATTGAACAGTTGCAAGCATTTTTTCGCGCTAATAATGCTGTGGTTTATATGTTCAAAACAGCATTGGAACGAATGCCATCGGATACGCACAAATTTGTCATAAGAGCGGATTATACCCCAACAGGTGAACATGTGCGAAGATTCAATGCACCCACCGTTAATGATGTTGCTGTAATTATTGTTGGCGATCCAACTAAAACGCGAGACATTGTCGTTCAGCGAAGAATCAATATTATGCATCGTGTAAACGAGACATGAAATGAATTCATTACTGTTGTGAAATGAAATAAATATTTTTCCTTTTCAAATATAAAACAAAAAAAATCTTCTTCTTTTAATCACCAAACGAAATGTTACATAAAACGAAGCCATCTGGTGGCGAAACGGAGTTCGCCGGGTTTGCTAGTTTTATATATATACTTAAGTACAAAAAAATAACACTGTACAAAAGTCAATCAGTACAAATTCGACACTGCATTGTACAGGAATTGGGGTAAATCGGTAATCTATTGGGGGACCTATATTTTCCATTCTTTCTAAAGACATTTCCTTAATGAGTAGGCGATTTTTGTTTTAAGGTTGTTTATTACGCCTACAGTCCATGCATACATGTACTGGGCACATGCTACGCGGTACACAAGAAAAGTGGAGCAATATTATAACAGACTGGTACCGTAGAGATGGGGGAAGGAACAGAGGAAGACAAAGCAAGAGGTGGGAGGACGAACTAAAACTGACGGCAGGCCCAAAATGGAGAAAGAAAGAAAAGAGACAGAGTGCAATGGAAACTGTTAGAGGAGGCCTTTGCCAAGAGGCACACTGAACTCAGGGATATTTAGACAAACACAGTTCAAAGAAAGAAGAAAGTAGTTCAGGATAAGAGGCTTATTATTATTATTACGCCTCAGCGCCGGAACAATTATATAGAATAACTAGCTGAGCCAGCGAACTTCGTATCACCATAAAAATAGGGGCAGGTGGTAGAAGAGAAAATTTAGGGTTGTATGTATTTTTTAATACCACATTATAAAAAAATAAATATTGTCCAAAAAAATTTTAGGGGTGTGTAACGTAGTGTTCTGTTAATTTCCTGGGATAACATTCCTCCTAACCCATATGAGAGCACTACGTTACAATACCCAATAGTTTGAATTTTGGCGCGAAGGCGCATTGTAGGTTTCAGAACATTACGTTACAGGTGGACAACCATTATCACTTAAGGATATGAAAAATAGATTGTAGCCGATTCTCAGACCCATGGAATATGCATATAAAATTTCATAAAAATTGTTCAGGCCGCCGGAGGAGTATGGTAACTAACATTGTGACACGAGAATTTTATATATAAAAGAAGAATGCCGTTTGTCTTTTGTTCAACTTTTTTATCCTACTCGTATTAGAAAATTTCCATGCGAATGATAAGTAAATCGTGTGGTAGAAAAAGGATTTCCGAATAGTACATGTAACTTGTAACTTCAAAGTTTTAAAATTCATGGTTTTTTCATTGATAGAGCTTCTAATGAAAAAACAGTTTAAAATCTGAACAAAATTTTACTAGAAAAAATGCACTGGGTCAAGTTTCAGACGAAGTACAAACTCCCATCTTCCGCTATTATTCAGCTGTTTATTTAAATGCTTAGAAAAAAACATTTTTTTTTTTGTATGATAATGTCATACTCTGTTTATAATAATAATAATGTTTTATTTCAGATACTAGATCAGATAGAAATAACAATCAAACCTTAAAAACTATGTTAGTACATTTTAAAACAAACAACAAGATATATATATTAATATATATCTTCCGAGGCACTGGTCACATGAACGTGTATATTCACCCAGTGCCTCAGAATGGCACACTCCGGTTTTTTCCCGATAACATCGAGAATACTGTTGGCGCTCCCACAAACCCTGTGCATCAACAATGCAATTCTCTTGCGCATCACTGAAGGAAAGTCGTCTAAGTGTGCATCTGCGAACATACCCGATGCACTGCAGTAACGTGGGAGCCCCAACAACATCCTCAATCCATTATTATATTGGACACGGATAGCGTTGTATGTCCGCTGCGTATATATGACCCACAGGGCGCACGTGTGCAGAGTCTGGCAGTAGGCCTTGAACAAGGTAATTTTAACATCTGCAGTACAGCGAGGGAACCTGCGAGTCAGCATGTTGCAGCGGACAGCCAACGTTCTCCGTGCTCTCTCAATATCTGAGTCATGTTTCAAGTCCTCAGTGACCACATGTCCGTCTTTATCATTATAGGCTCTGCTTTTTTTTTTTTTTTTATACAATTACTCCATAGGCGTATGCCCATGCCATTATTTAGTTTGACTTTTTTTTTAAGTTATGTTATATACATTTGTTTGTGCACTCAGTGCGGCCTTTTATATTTTATCATGCAAACATGCGGCATGCTCACTTATGTCTACTTAACTAATATAATTTGGACATATTGTCCATCCCCTTTTCAATGAATATTCTATTATATGTATACGCTTTTTTTTTCTTTTTTTTTTTTCTTTTTTTTCACTTATTATCTATTGTACATGCTTTTTGGAACAAAAGGATTTTCAGTTTATTCTATTTGTGTACCTTGTGTTATGTTTTTGCGGTCTCGGGCTCCTGCGTGAGTTCTCTTTCCTTCTCATCGCACGCAAGGGCCCAAGTTTCGCTATCTTTTTGGTAATTATTTAAATTTATTTGTCTCTATGGTACAACATTTACTGCTATGTTTTGCTAAATAACATGTAGGTACAGTTTTACTTAAGTCTACATAGGCTCTGCTTTGTGTGGCGTGAGGTGGGTCGTTACGTTTTTTAAAATATTGCTGCTATTGAACATTTTTATTCCCCTATTATTGCATCGCAATAAGGGTACGAAACGAATTACTAGTTGCAATTTATATCAAGTGACAGTTGATACTAGTTTTTTTTGTTTTTTTTATAGCGAGGTAGGCAAATGACTACCCCACCTGATGTCAAGTGGTAATAAAGTCCAAACGCGAAGATAGCTGGTACAGCAGTTATAAACTGCCACACCCACCATCCTCACCTTGCCGGCCTGCAAAAATGCTTCTTCACGCCTCTCTTAAAGGACCCCAGATTATAGGAAGGAGGGAACACGTGCGCGGGTAAAGAATTCCACTTACGAATAGTACGACAAAGAAATGAGTCACCAAATTTCTTTGTTCGTGTAGGAATAGTGGCCACAGTAGGACGGTGGCAACGACGGCCAGCGCGCGTGGTCCTCTGAAGAAAAGGTGATGGAGGTATAGGGAGAATAGAATAGAATAGTTGTAGTTTACGCGGATTGGGATACTACTAAAAGGACAGTATTCGACTTTATAAATTGATAAAGTTTCATTGTGTAATTCATGAACAAATTTCGTTTTAATGAATCGTCGTTTTCCCCATGTCACGCATCATTTTATGTGGTTCCTAAAGTATCATTTTAGATGGTTTTTCAAGTTTAAGATCTCATTCCGGATTTTATAAGTGGTCAGCAGTCCGAGACTTCGGATTCCTCAAAAGCATTTTAAATCGAGTAATGGAATAATCTGTCTCGCTCTGATTCTGGGTCAAAACCGAGATAGACCTACTTGTCTAGCAGCTATAAGATTTCATTTCTACGCTTTATTTGAGAAAAAAACCCGTTGTTTGGTTATTCCGCTTCTTCTCGGTAGCATTTTAAAAGCTGTTTTAAACTTTCATGGTCACTAACGTTATAGTGTACTTGTTAGCAATTTCGTAAATCTATAACATTTTAAAAGCATTATTATGGATTGCGATAAAGCTATTAGAAATAATTATATTTTCAAAAAAAGTAACTTTTTTGTTTCTTAGGTTTTAAACGTAGTTTAGTGACGACCTCATTGGCCGAGTGGTATGTACGCCGGGTTTCATGGTGTCGCCGACTTGAGAGGTCCCGGGTTCGAATCCCGGTGGGGGCAGATGTTTGTGTGACGAATACGAGCATTTGTACTCCAGTCATGGATGTTTAATATGTATTTCTATATGAATATACTTATATATGTACAGTATATGTATTCTATCCGTTACTCTAGTATCCTATAACACAAGCCTTATAGTGCTTAGCTTGGGGCTAGGCTAATTGGTGTGAGTGTTGGAAATATTTATTTATTTAAAGTAACTTTGTTTGAAAATTAACTCACCTATTCAATAAGCCATTGTTTTCTTATAGAACTACTGACCTTGGTATATACGATATTACACCAGTTTTGGAGTTAACCGTTCTATCTGCATTTAACCTTCGTAAAACACGGAAGCGATAACATAACTTAACTTCCCATTCATTCCGATTGCTTTTTAATCATACACCTCATTAACGTTAACTGCTCGGTTAAAAATAATGACCTCTGACTGAGATAAACTCAGTTTACTGAGCACAAAATATGAGTTTTGATTTTGAGTGGATAAGTTGAAATCGTCGTGTCATTTGTTTTTGGTTTTGATTTGAAACATTTCAATAGACGATATATGAGATATAGGGCAGTGTGAATGTTCTTATTGAGTTGGAGAGTCCACCTGGATAAATAACTTCATAGAAGTTCCTAAGACTACATTTTGGTTGCTTCTGCAACAAACAAAACAAAAAATATTTTGTTCAGAAATCGGTATCACAAAGAAACGTGTACAATTAAACACACCACTTTGACAAGCATCATATTATAATTAACGTGTCCCAGGCACGTCGCTGGAACACAGTTAAGCCTTAAGTTCAAAAAATGATTAATCAATAAGTACTTAGGTACTGTTTTGCACATTAAAGAGTTGTATCACAGCATCGCTAACGTACCGTAGCCCGTTCAGCATGTTTGAAGAGAGAAGCGGCTAACACTCGACATAATAATATGCATGTCAACAAAGCACTTTCACTGTTCGAAAGCAGTTCTGCGCCGATTCATTCGATTTAAACGCGCTGAATCGTCAAAACCGCCCGTTTGTATCGCTCGCGCGTGCCTCACTGGCTTGCGCGTACGCATAAACCTCTTTTCCCCCACCCGCAGTCACGATTTAAGAGAACAAACAAAACCACCTTTATCTGTTTAGATGTAAAGTTCAGAGTAAACGTTAGACGGAGTTTGTAAGCGTCATCTCTAAGGCTTGTTGTACACATTGGGCCAGAAGCGCTAAGTGATGATGTTGGGCCAATATCACACTATAATATTATAAAGGTGAAAGTTTGTGAGTGTGTGAGTGTGTATGTTTGTTACTTCTTCACGTCTAAACGGCCGGAGCGATTTTAGTAAAATTTGTTATGGAGTTAGCTGACACCCTGGATTAACACATAGGC